CAGGGATAAGGACAAAGTAAGATGTGACTGTAATCACCAGCTCACCGTCCTCCCAGCCCCCACCGAGGGACAGCGTGGGCTTTCTTATTTCTGTCTGTATCTGAAATGACAAGGAAGCTGCTCTAAAACCTAAGTTTCGGGATGATGAGGGTATTTCTGCCACAGACCCAGGGCCGTGGGTTCCTGAGCTCATCTCCCCCTCCTGATACGGCCACCGCCGCTGCCTGCACCGCCCTGCCGTTTAGCGACCTTCTAGTATGTACCACAATTTCCAGGCGCCCCACAGACATGACCGCACTGAATCCTCACCCTCCCGGGAGGTGCTCTGGTAAATTCTTATCCAAAGCTCCCAGCTCGGAGGAGAGGCCCAGATTCAAACTCTCAAACTGCAAAGCCCGTGAGTATATCATCAGCGGACACACTCCTAGGGTAAAACAACTTTGCGAGTAGTGAAAATAAACAACCCCTAAGCCAAACAAAAACCATCGCTCTGGGATGCTTGCACTGCTCGAAGAATGGGACAGGCTGGCTGAATGTGTCCACGGGGAAATGTTGAGTTGGGCGTGCTTTCTCGTGCATTTTCTCACCACACTAATAACAGCAAAGGCCGTTCGTCTGGTCTGGGGGTGAACTGTCAGCAGAGACGACCTAAGGGGACCTTCTGCCGTGCTGACCTGGAGCCCCAGTCCCCTTTCCTCCTCTCCTTCCCCCTGGGACCTTTGAAGTTTAGGGTGGAGGGGAGCTGGGGCAGAAGTTGGCTGGACCAGGAGGAGACTGGGGAATTGGTGACCAATACCTTGTTCTAGAAGTTTGGCTAAAAAAAGGAAGGAGAGGAACCAGGGTCCCTCCCGAGACCCTGTCCAGGCCTGACCAGTGAGCCGGGAAGAGGTGGCCGATTCGTCATGTGTACCATGTCCCCCTGCCTTGCATTGCAGCCAGCGGAGGTCCCAGGACATCTGCAGACCGAGCAGCTGCCTGCCAGGAATGCCTACCACTTCTAGTAGAGGGCAGCAGGCCAGGTGGTGTTGATCCAGCAACCCAAGTGGACCTCTGTTGTCAGCAGACATAGGCCTCCTGGCCTCACATTCTTTGTGGTGCCCACACAGGCCTGGGTTGGAGCACTGCCTAAAGCTGCCGGGGTTCCGACCTGCGAGGTGCCAGCACCCCTCCATCAGGACCGCATCGGCCCTGGAGGCCTCTGGCAGCAGGTGGGGTGCTGAGGGCCACAAGCTTGAACCAACCCTTCTCCTCCCAGCACACCCCTCTGAGCCACCCTGGCCTGTTCCTACGAGAGGGAGAAGACACTCTCGCCACTTCCTCAGAGGCTTCAAGAATCCTTTGATGAGGAGCCTCCAGCCTTCCACTTGCCCCCAGAGCCCAGGGAACCCCCAGAGCACACTGCGGCGAGGTGGCCCCGGGGTGCTGCCGACCACAGCCCCTGAGGATAGACGGCTGGGCCAGGCCAGGTGCAAATCAAGGTTGGTATTTATTTCCTGCTCAAGGGCCTGGAGCGGCCAGTCTGTCGGCTGAAGGCTGCTGTGACCACTGCCTGCCGGGCTCA